CTTAGTCACCTGTCTGGCAAAAAGAAATATAAAAGTATCACTTAAATAGCACACTGCCATAATTACAAGTTATTCCTCTTCAGTTAATTAAGTGATCTAAGTTTTATGCAGCCTTATATTTTTATCATGCTCAGCAAGATTTTTTTCCTATTATTTGGGACATGATTCCACTTTGTGTATATTAATACATTAGAGAATACAATATTCCCAAAAGGTATCCTTAGCATATCCTTAACATTTGTTGAAAATAGACACATAGTATGTTTTAGAAAGGATGCACACTATCACTTGGCACAATATTACAGCAGATTGTTGTTACTAATGTCAATCATCCTCTTGATTTCAGGAAATAAATAATATTTGAAGAGGAAAAACATTCTAGTTTCTTCTGCAGTACTGAAAAAAAAAAAGGATTGGGATCTAAATTTCTCATACCATAAATAAATTTGCCTCGGAAAAAGCTTTAATTTCGTGAAACAATCAGAAGAGAAAACAAATATTAGCAGTTCCTCTGCCTCCAGTCTCTTGTGCCTTTTGAAAGTTTATTTCAAAAGCCTCAGGAAAATGTGAGAAAATAGGGAAAAGGGAGGTTTATAGATAAGGATGCCTCATTTCCATTAGTAGTTTCACCTGAATAAACCTCTACCTAGGAGATACTCCTATAGGTGGGAGCAGCACTTCCTATGAACTGAAGTAATGATGTATATTTTGAAAATATAGAAATATTAGTTTAATTCTGTTGTTTAAACTTCGTTTTCTTATACCTTAAGGATGCAGTCTGCAACATTCTGAACATAAGGATTACTTGGATAACTAATAGAATTGTGAGATTACTATGCTGCTTTCAATTTTAAAAAAGCTATAGTTGTATCATAAATTGCTACAGACTGCATATTTATATTTTATTTATAGAGTTTTACTTATAGTGAATGAAAGATATGCCACCCTAAAATCTGAATATTAAAATAATAAAATTACATCTCTAACAATAATGTCTGCATTATTTTATATATCAAAACAATGCAATCTTGCCTCAAAGAGCAATGGCAGATGAACCAAGTTTTGTGACTGTCCCAGAGATCATCACTGGCTTATCAGTTAAAAGGAGAAGAATAGAGGGTTAATTAATTAACAGAGATGTCATTAAATTCTTGTGCCTAATTGAATTAAAATGACAGAGGAGGACATGCACGACTGATTCTATTTCTCCCAACAGACCAAGGCAATGGCATTTTTGTAGTTAAGATACTAAATCTCCCTTTTAATGAAACTTGGTCAACTTCTCTTAGGGATTGGACAAGGGATGTTGGCAAAGTAGAAAGCCAGTAAAAAAAGGCCCACCAAATAAACTTGAACTGTAGAATTTTGGGTACAACATACATTTTTCTATAAATCTAAGTCAAAACTCATTTTTTCTTCTATTTGAATATAAAATCAGTATCCAACGACCAAACAATCTAATTTATGTAAAAACTTCAGATAGAACAAAAATGTGTTATTTATATTTCTCTAAATTAGTAAAGAAATGTCGTGAACCTGACATGTTTTCCCTGCATGTCTTCCCAAAACAGATCCAGTTAATTCTAAATAGCAATAAAAGAGCAAACCTGACTTTGTAAAGGTTAGTACCACCTACTTACCTAAAAATTAGTACAATGTAACAGTTAGTGCTGGAACGAGAGCCTTCAAAGAAAGATACACAAAGCTTAATGGTTTACCCATTATCTCAAAGACTGATCTACTTCAGAAACTACTGTGAGAGTAAAATGAGAGAGAAACCCAAGCTCGCAAATTTTCCTGGAGATCAAGGACAACTTAAATGTAATAAATATTCCATCAGTTCAGTTTTGTACAGATGTCTATAAATATAGTCTTGTACTTTGCTGCTGTACTTCACTTTTGCTGTAGTTCCTATAGACTTTAAATAGAGTTGTGCTGTGATCTGCTTTTGAAGGCAAAAGGGTATTTCAAAGATCATATGGATTCAGCTGTAATACCTGTCTGCAGTTCCTTTAACTAAGACTATTTTCCCAGGATTTTGCAGGAACTGCTGAAGGCAGTTTTACAGAGTTGCATATATGTGCTAGGTTCACACCTCTGAGCACCCCAAAGCACTTCCTTGCCTTCAAGTTTATCTTTTGGATAGTGGGGCCTCTAAATAGGCCAATCTTCTTATTTAAAAAATAATAATTGCATGCCATAGTATTAAAACTAACAAAACTGATGCAAAAGCAGAGCAGAAAGAGTTCAAAGGAGCAATAAAGAAACTGGCTGAAACTAGTTGAAAGTACACTCAAGAATAGTTTCTGCACATAAAAACACCCCTGCAAACTCATCTACTGTTACACTTTGTAAACTCAAATCACAATCTATTAAAATTGATCTTTCAATCTTGTAATGATCTTTTTATGAGTAATTAAACAGTATACATTCTGTGAACCCATTAAATGTTCTAACAAAAGAATTTTTATTCACAAAACACATACAATGTGTCATGTTTTCTTTCAAGGCTTGGCATTCCATGCTAAATGAGCCTTTCAGAACAATTTCAAAAGCCATTACACTTACATTCTTCTTCCCATGCTTAGAATTACTAAGCCATTCTAAAAGTTGGGATTAAATATTATGCTTCATTGACAGAAAATAGAAACCTAAACCACCAATCCATATATAATTGTCAAACTCCCCCAATTGTGGTCATATTCCTTCAATACTATTGGTCATTACTGTACTTTAGGACTTTTTTTCCATTTTAGTTCTTTAAGCATTAAACTTTAAGGTTTGTGAATATTTCCTATTACAGCCCCATTTGCTTTATCTGTAAAACACTTGCTATTATATTTATGCTAACCATAAAAGCACATCTGACAGGCTTCTCTGCTATATCATAACACTAATGTTTGCAACTGTTGTTTGGGCACAAGGAAATGAACTATTTGTTAATTGGTTAATTAACAAAAGTTTAATTTTGAATCATACGATGAATCATCATTCGGACTGAAGATCTTGATTCTCCAAATAATGTGAGGTAACTATCAATATTCCTCACACAATTAGCTGAAGGATCAAATTGAACACACTATATTCTAACATTATCTCTAAACAGGAATAGTGCCAAACGTATTACCTGTCCACTGAATTGTCATCATACACCCCTTAAAAAAGAATGCTTGATAGTTGCATACATGTATGTTTGTGTGTGCATACATAACAAGCAGCCATTTTTCCACAAGCACATATTCATACTACTTCAAACAGCTACATCAGGAACTTGTTGAAGAAAATATGTAATGGAAAAGAAGGAAGTATTCTTTATTCTTGGGAAATTTCCACATAAGATTTCTTCCCCCAGGGTTTCATTTTCTTTTTTTAATATAGGTGAACAGGGAAGTGGGGGTGGCATTCTAGAAACATTTCAGCAAATGAAAACTATCCTAGGTTTCCACACCTTCAATCTGATGCCAGCCTTGCCATTTTAACTCCCTCCCGACGAAACTAGTCAACCATAGGGAAATGGAAACGGTCAGCAATGGAAAGACAGAAAGAAATGGTTAACACCCCCCCACCCCCTCAGGTCTTTCTCAGTAGTGGCAGTAGAATTACTTTACCCAGTTAATTACACTTAAACAAAAAAAGGCGCTAAATCAGTGAGAGAAATAGAAATAAAGATGAGGAAAGCTGACCCAAATGGGGCTCCTCCAAGGATACCTTCAAGTTCCAAGAGGAACTGCCTCGACTACCAGTAAGGATCCCATTAAGGGCTCCTCCACTCCAATGAGCACCGAGAGGGTTGCCAGCTTTCTCCCATTACCCTAATAATCTTCCTCCCACGCTCATTTTCCCGCAAGCCGCGACGTGGCTCGCTCCAGTTGGTTTGGACGCGGCCCCGGCTAATGACGAGTCAGAAACCAGACTGAAGTCCAGAAAGGAACCATCTGCTTTTTTTTTTTTTTAAAGAAATCCTCTTGATAGGGGACTCGGGAGGAAAAAGCGGGTCCTCCCCACCCCGGTCTGAAAGAAAGCCAGGAGGCGGCGAGAGGGACTAGAAACCTCCCCTCTGGCCCGGGAATGTCTGTGCGCTACATACACACACACACACACACATCGCCGAACCCGTCGTAGAAAGCGAGGAAAAGCAGCCGCCTCACCTCTACTTCTCAAAGGAGAGGAGGAGGAGGAGGAGGAAAGCGTAGATGGAATCGCGCACACCCGCACTGCACCGAGGCGAGAGAGAGATTCGTCTTCTCTTCTCAGAAGGATGAAAGGCAGAGCTTTTCCCTCGCTGGAAAGCTCCTCATGCCTTGGGCTTTCCGCTCAGGAAAGGGAACGGGCATCCCGCCGCCATATACACATAACACATCACACGCAGCCTTACGGCAGGTTTTCCCCCGCCGCTTCTCCTCCGGACTCGTTGGACGACCACACACACGCCCCCTCCGCCGTACGACAGCTTCCCTCTCCCCCCTTCTCCCCTCCAGACGCCCTGGACCGTCCACGCCCATCATCCGCAGCCATGTTGCCGGGGATGATGGGCGCGACTCATCCTCCCCTCTCCCCGAAGGGTCACCGCCTAGCTGGGGCGGCGCGTTCTCCTCCCACCCCGCTGCCCAGACAACCGGGGTCGTCGGGGGAAGAGACTCGGAGGGAAAGTCGCAGGCAGGCTGGCGGGCGCCACTTCTCCTCCATCGGGGAAAGCGGCCGGGGACGAGACGAACGGCAAAGGAACCGGCGGGCGAAGCCCTTTTTTTCTCTCCCTCGCTCGCCTGGGTGAGAAACTAGTCCTCCCCGGACACGCACCAACCCACGCCGAAGAGCGGAGTTTAGAGCCTCCGGGTGAGCCCGGAGAGGCTCAGGAGGAAACGCCGGCTGCAGAAGGACTCCCCCTCTCCGCCACAGCAAAGGCAAGGGGTCCACCCGCCCAGCCTGACCCAGCCGAAAGGCACCCCCGACGGCGCCCGGGCGGCTGAGCGTGCGACTCCGCTCCCCCTTTCCCCTCTTACCTTCCTGCCGCCCCCGGCCAGCGCGGCGCTTCCCCCAGAGTACATGTAGTAGGCGATCCCCAGCACCCAGAGGAAAGCGAAGCAGAGCAGCAGCCGAGACCTGCGCCGCATTATTCTCCCGCCCGCCTAACGCTGAGCAGTGGCACCAGCCGCCGCCAGGCCAGCAGGAAACGGGCGGCAGCCGCTGCCTCTATCACCACCGCCGCCCGCCGCCGCCGCCGCTGCTGCCGCGCAGGGTCAGGGGGCAGAGGGCGAGCGCCCACCCCCTGGCCAATCGCGAGCCGCGTCGCCCCGCCTCCCGGGGGCGGGGCGAGGAACGTCGCCCGGGCTGCCGCACGCTAAGCCTCCTGGGGTCCGTCCCGCTCGCTCGGCCGCGAGAGGCTGAGGCGGCTGCGGGAGAGGCTTGCGCCCGGCAGCCGGCTCCCTTGCCGGGAAGTTCCGTCAGGCGCTGCTGAGGAGCGCCATCCCTCCCACCCCACCCCACCCCCCTTGTAGGGCTGCTACTTCGGCGTTAGCTACCGCAAGCGGTTGGGAGTCGGGGAGCCCATCTTCCCGTTGGGGTTGTCAAAATGCCCTTCCAAATACGAAGAGCAAAGCGGGGGGGACACTGGATTCCCCTTGGTGAGGGGGCGGGAGTGCCGGGGGGGGGGAGTGGGATACCCAATTCGGATTTCAGCAATGTGGCTCCAAGCCACGCGCCCCGTCGAACGGGAATCTCCCCGGGTCTGATCCCTAAAATGGGTGAAAATGAAGGGTAGCCCGACTTTCTAAGGAGAGAGAGATTGTGTAATGCGTGTTTTCCTCGCCGAATTTTTACTGTCAGAGAAAATGCGTTTTAGGGGCTGCAGGGAGAAGTTGCAGGCTACCCTCATGAAATTTTTGCCCTGGACATAGTTGGGACCTAATGATTTCCAAGCACACTTGTTTAGGATTGTACTGTTCCTGACTCATGGCAAGGAGGGATGGAATCCAGTACAGGAGCGCAGATCTTCAAACTTGCACTCGCACGCTGGTTCTGTGCAAAGATTTGAGCCTACAGAAATGCAATGACTAAATGATACTACTGATTAATAAAAACATTGACTGATTTGGTTGTGGGTTTAATATTTGATATTCTGATAGGGTTAGTCATTCGGGGAATGTTATGAAAAAAAATAGTACAGTTATTGGGTTGCATTTATTAGAATGATAAAAAAGCATAAGGGACATCCTATAAAATATTCATAGTAGCCTATCTTTATTTGTATACATCAAAGCTACTGTTTTTAAACTAAGAATAGAATAGTCTTATCATGATTGGGTGAGGGACTAGAACCCTAAATTGACATGTGCCAGTATGTGCCAGTAAAGCATAATGTGCTAACAAGACAAAAAATAAATACTAGCTGGCTAGTTAGGAATGAGTAGCATATAACAAGGATGCTACCTATGAGTGAGATTCATAGTAACAGGAATAATATGGCAAAAACCAGTATGGACAGTCAGTTGAAAGGAGACAAGATACTTTTTGATATTCCCTAAAACCTCTAGGTTTTTTTTAATGAAACAAATAAGACCCAATAGTTTAATTCATTGTAGTTATGATTGTCTAGCTCTGCATGGTACATGGAATGGGCATGAGGGAGAAATTGAACAATATGATATTGTCTGCCATCACTGCATCAGTTGACACATGAGAAACATGGGGACCTACTACATATAATGCCTACCCTGTAATATGAACGGAGAGCTTCCCACATGCCCGTGTGGGAATCACTGAATGCAAATCGTCCAAAACCCAAAAGTATATGGAGCTGAATCATGGCTCATGAAACTTTAAATAATAGATTATAGCAAATACAGGAAGTCTAATTCCTAAGATTTCCTCTGTTTCTATTGCTCCCTTTGCAACTTCCATGTCCTGTGGCCCTGAGTCATCCGATTTCATCATTTTTCCTTATCCCAAACAACCTCTACAAATTAGGTCACCTAAGGAACTCATATCACAGAAGGCTTGGAGGTTTTGTTTTTTGTCATTCAATAGATCAGGAGTGTCAAACTGGTGACCCGTGGGTCAAATGCATCATGCGCAGGCCACACCCCAGCTCCGCAAAGGGAAAAATGTCACAAAACTTCACATGTTGGCAATGTTTCACAACCATGTGATAGATCATTCCAAAGAAATTTCCAATAGTTTAATTCTATTTTACTAGGTAGAAAGGGGTGGGGTGGGGGAATGAGCTCCATGTTAATCACTGAATCTGCGATTGGAGATTCTTTAGATTGCTGCCTATGAATAGTTTGGAGATGAAGAGACTGCTTGGAGAGTGTTATTTTTTACCTTGCTAAATATAACTTTTTGTGCTTGTGTGTGTACGCACAGTATTCTTCCTGTCTACTCTGTGAGTGACAAAGAGTTTTTTTATACCATTATTTTAAACCATTTTGAAATTTTGAAAAACCTGGCCATTTGTCACAACTCTTATGAAGATGAAATCTCTCAAATAGTTTACTTTGAGAGGATTTCTTACAAAGGACAATAGGGTCAATACCCCTATTTTGTCTCACTGTTGTGGGATACAGTATAGTGCTATAACCAGAGGATGCAGCTATTTTGACAAACAATCAACATTGAATTGTTTCCTACATATTGACCGGTCTAGTAAAAAAAAAAATTCAGGATGAACTGTAACAAACAGCTGCCCTGTATATATATATATATATTTTATCATGCTATTTCTTCCTTTTCTTCCTTCCCTGAAAAGAGAAGCCAAAGCACAGAAACAGTTGTATTAATAATTTATTGGAATTAATTGCTTATACACCTCACTTACAAAAAATAATTGAAACCGGAATCATTCTCTTTCTTACATATACAAGACAATACAAGCACATACACACATAATGCATGTTGTAAGGAAAGAAGGAAGGAAGGAGGGGAGAAATTAGATAGGAGATGAAATGACATGTCATGATATGAATGAGTAGCGGCGTTGAGAAAGATAGGAAAGGATAGAAAAGAAAAAAAGGGTTAAATAAGAGTGGAAGTGAAGGGGAAAAGTAACTAACATGGTAGGAAAGGAAAGGAAAGGTAAGACCAAAACCTGTTTAAATGTTACATAAGTTTAAATTCGTTAGACAAAGAGCTCATCCAAGGAGCAGCTAATCTTTCCTTAGCTTTGCCCTAGGGAGATTCGACCAACTGCATGGTATTGTTTTCCCTTTAACAATTTGTACATTTCTTCTTTTAAATTATAATTTAATGTACATTTTAAATCGTTCATCCACATATTTTCCCATTGTTCAAGCATTATAGGATCCTCTGTGATGCAAGTGGTTAGAGTGGAGTACTGTAAGCTACTTTTGCAGCCAGCTGCGTACAGTTTGGCAGTTCAAATCCCACCAGGCTCAAGGTTGACTCAGCCTTCCATCCTTCCGAGGTGGGTAAAATGAGGACCCAGATTGTTGGGTGAAATATGCTGACCCTGTAAACCACTCAGAGAGGGCTGTAAAGCACTATAAAGCGGTATATACATCTAAGTGCTATTGTTATTGCTATTATATCCAAAATTCTTTGCCCACTGAACCATACAATGCTTTACATATTCATTCTCCAAATTCAATTTGAATAGCAATTTATAAACCTTATAAACCTGTCCCATTGTTACCGGACAATAGAATTTCCAGTTCATTTTTTACAAAATCAAATCCGTAACTTTTAAAATCTAATTTAAAGCTTTCTTTCAATTGTAAATATGCAAACCAATGTAAACACGTCCTTCTAATTCCAACACCTCTTTAAATTGGAGGATATGGTCACCATAATTTTTTTTTAAAAAAATTGACTATAAGTCCACCAGTCTGATTTTGCCATCATTTCTTTTCTAAAAAAGGCTTCTTGGGGCTTCCCAAAGGGGCATCTTCACAAAGAGCCTTATTTTACATTTATTCTTAACTCTTAGGATGGCATGTCTTACAAAGTGATTGTTGAAATCACCATTTACTTTAACCTTATCATACCATAAATAGGTGTGCCATCCAAATCTTAATTCGCGACCTTGCAGCTTCAAGAAATCACTTATTTTGGAGAATCACCCACTCTTTTACAAACAGCAAGTATCAAAGTACAATTTTTAATCTGTAAACCCAAACATCCTCTTTCTTTAGCATCTTGCAATAATTTATATCTAATTCTTGTGGGGAGTGGTTTACCATATACGCTTAGAGATATCCACCTGCCATTGTTTAAATGCAGTATCACTTATAAATATTGGTAGAGTGTGAAACAGAAAAAGCATATTTGGTAAGACATTCATCTAAATTACAAGATTCTACCCAATAAAGATAGTTACAATTTGTACCTATTAATAAGCCTTTTTAGTATCATTCCAAAGAGGCACGAAGTTATTTTGAAACAATTTACCATAGAATCTATGTTTGTCAATGTAACTCCCAGGTATTTCACCCTTTTCTCCTTCTTAAAACCCAACTAAGGATTTGAAAAGTCATATTCTTAACAAACACTGTTGTTTTCTGCTTATTTAAAGGCCCGCTAAAGCTGCAAACTCATTTAGGTTCTTCATCTGTACCGAAACCTGTTTAAATGTTACATAAGTTTAGATTCATTAGACGAACAGCTTATCCTAGAGAGCAGTTAATCTGATTAATCTCTCCCTAGCTTTGCCCTAGGTAGATTTGACCAACTGCACAACATTGTTTTGTCTTTAACAGTTCATATTTTTCTTATCCAAAATGTAAGTAAACTTTATATACTACTGCAGTTGGACATCACTGTTGCTAGGTTAAGTCAGGCTATCTACATGGTTAGGGCAAATCTTATTTTCAATATATACTCTGCTGTTGTCACACTTTCTGGTAATTTGGCTTTCATTTTAACTGACTATGATGCTTAGATAAGTTTGAGCTTCTTTTTGGGAGAGGAAATCAGCTGTCCTGGATTTCCATGTTTTTGTAACAAGAGGCCATGCCCAGAGTGATTCCTCTGAAAATCAAGGCCATGTCCTGAATCGTAAATCAAGTTATTATTCTTTCTCTTTTCATTCTTTCTCTACCCATTGTTTTTAACACACTGCTCTCCCTGAGATTGAAAAATCCTACTAAACGAACTTGGGAGCTGAAACGTACTTTTTCAGTGCTTTGTAATTCAAGATGTTAAAAGACCCAAACATTTTCAGCCAAGCTGAAGTTTTTAAGAATGAGATCACTGCACTTTTTG